CTTTGGAAAGCCTGATTAGAGGCGAACCAGGAGTGCAATTTCCTCCCTATCCTCGATATCCTGATTATGAGCCTGCAGAAAAATGGTACAGCGGTGATTCTGAGGATGAAGAGTAGAGCTGAGAGATTCATTTTATGATTGTAATATGATGTGAACTATGTGGTTTGAGCTTACTACATTTGCATCTGTGTGTTGTTTTGGAACATGCTGTGTTTTAGACTTTTATGTTTGTGATTATAGTGTTAGATAGTATTTCATTTTTAAAATTTTAGTGTAGTAGTTGTTGTTTTGTGTTTAGTAATGTGATTTAGTTAGTTTAGAACTTAACTTAATTTCATATCTGTTATAAAAGTAGAAAATCTTGCTAGCTTAGATCTTAAATTTGAAATTCAGAATGCTGCCTTGTATTTTTCTTTTTTCATGTTAGTGTGTTGTTTGTTTTTATATCCACTCTTTAGAAGTCTATTGAATCTCTACATGTTAAACTAAAATAAAATATAAAAAATTTGATCAAAAATAAATTTAACTTCTATCTTTAGTTTTATACTTGTTCAATTAGGATGTTAAAATTCCTGTTAGCATGTTATTTCAATTTTCATTTCCTAACATTTTCAAAACGGGAATTTTATTTGTTCTCAAATGTACTACAAGTGAATTTGATTTTAAAAGAAAAATTGATTATGTCTATGAAGTTATATTAGGGAAGTAAAATTTGATTTTAGAAATAAATAAGAAAATTTAATTAAAATTTTAAGTAATGAAGAAAAACTTTAAGTTAAAAATTTTTAATAAAGAAAATGATTAATATAAGTGACTATCTTTAGTAAGAAAAATTGTATTTTCAAAAAAATTAGATAATTTAAACTTTTATTTTCAATACTTAAATTTCTTTTATTAAAATGATTTTCAAAACTATTATTATATCTATAAGTAAAAGTATTATATCAAGACTTTACTTTAGGAAAGGAGAAATGGAATTCAAAATATAAAGACCTATCCAGATATAGTAATCCTTGCCTGAAAAAGAAAAAGAAAAAGAAGAAGAAAAAGAAAAAGAAAAAGAAAAGAAAAAAAGGAAAAAGAAAAGAAATGTAAGGGAGGAGAAGCTTGAGGATTAGTGTCTAATCAAAAAATTGTTCTACATTTGATCTTTTTAAAGTATAAGACTTGATATAATCTTAAGCTTATAAATATAATATAGTAAGTAAAATTGTTTTTAATAAAAAGTTTTTCGTAGAGAAAAAAAAAGAATTAAAATCTAAATTTAGAGAACTTACAATATTTATGAATTAGATAGAAACTCATATTTTCATAGTTCTTAACATTAAAAATTTTCAAACTTTAAGTTGGTCTCATTTACTAAAATTGGACTACTATATTTCTAAATCTAAATTTTAGTAACTCCTAAAGAAACTCATATACATATCATACATATTTGGTTTTTAAAGATTGATGTGTCACTTGAGGACAAATAACATTTTAAGTTTGGGTGATTTTGATACACCTAAAATATATAGTATTTTTAGATACTTTTTTATCTCTATTTTTGAGATATTGCGCTTTAATGGAAGGTATTTTTGTATTTTTCTTGCAGATACAAGTAAAAAAAACTTAAAGGAGTAAAAAAGGGTCAAACTTGGAGTAAAAAGGTGAAAAATTGTGCAAAAGAGTTTTGGCGCCTAAGCACAGAGACCTCGCGCTTACGCGCTAGTGCAGTTATTAGATGAGTAAAACCGATTTTCACGAATTTCGAAGAGGTTTTTGAGGGACTCATTGGCTTAATAGGTGGTTGTAACCACCATGGATGAAAATTATCCTGAAAGGATGTGTCTCTTGAGCAAATACATCGAATCAAGACACATTTTGAAGAGATCCCAAGGCACCTCTTGGATAACTATAAAATGAAATATAAAAGAAAGAAGAGAGGACTTAGAAAAGAGTCCTGAAAATATTGGCAAGTTTTGAAAGTTCCTTTTTGGGGAGTTAGTTCGGAGAGATTTTAAGGAACCACTTTTTATTTACTTTATCATTTTTATTATTTTGTTTTGACTGATTGTAAAAGAGAAGAGATTCAAAGGAACTTCAAGAGTTTGGTGGAGAACTTGAGATAAGTTTTTATCTTCTTGTTTTAGACTACTTTTGATTTTAATCGAGATTTGTTGTTGGTTTTACAATTATTTCTTCTTTTAAACTAAAGTGTGGTTTTGTTTTCTCCATGGATTCTGAGTAGTCTTCTTTATCTTTCTTCTTAAAATGATAAGTAATTAAGATTTGGATGGAAGTTGTGGAGAGTAATGATCTTTAATGTTGGAAGAAGTTGTGATGACTTAAATCCACGCACTTCATTTAATTCTTGATTTGGCCCATCCGATGTTAAAATTTGTTGTGAGAACTTGTTAGAACCGGGTTGGTATTATCTCAGTCATAAATTGGAAAGAATCACATAAGGTTGTATGAATGAGAATGTACTTCATATGATTAAGTTCAAATAAATAAGAAAATATTTATTGTTGGGTGTAGAGTTAGAGGACTTTAAAGTGACAGGTTAAAGCCACCAACTTGGTTTATTGTTTTAGGTTCTGATACGAGAATGTTAGCCCCTAGGTTGAGGGAGTCGAGAGAACTCTAGAGTGAGAGCTAGTATCTTCTCTGCCTAGCCGTTCTTTAGAACTATTCAAACTTTAAATTATTCAATGTTCTTTATAGCATCTCTAGTAAGGGTAACGAATATTATTGCTCCTATTTGGCACAACACAATTTGTATACATTCACAGCATAATTCATATACTTATTGCTGATTCAGGATAAGAAGAAAGATATTTTCATATCAGGTACTTTTCTTCTACAAAAACTTTAGTTATCTTTTTACTGTTTTGGTAAAATATCAAAAATACCAAAAATATTTTAATTCTAAATTCCTACGAAAATTATTTTTAGTTTAAGTAATTATCTTTTTAAACTAGAAAAACTTTCTAAAAAGTGCATATTGCATAATCTTCCATATGGGTTCGATATTCAGGTCTTAATCAAAAAGTCCTATATTACTTGATAACGATACGTATACTTGTGCAGTTTCCCAATATAAATATATTTAAATTAAAAAGTTAAATTCTTATTTTTCTTCAGAATCAAGTTTTTGGTTTTGTTGCAAAATAAGTAAATATAAGTAAAAAATACCATCAGAACTATTGTTATACTCTGCATAAACATTAGGTATCCAAGGATCAGCAGCCATCATCCATCTAAGTAAACTATCGCCACCACCGGTGGTCACTTTTTATTTTATTTTTTAGTGATAGTTTGTATTATGAGAGAAGAAAGATAATTAAAAAGAACTTAAAAACATTTGGTGGAGAGGATTTGCCATAAGTGTTTATCTTTGTGACTACACTTAGTTTTAATTTAGATTTCTTGTTTGTGTGTATGATTTCTATTTTTAAATTCATGTATGGTTGTGTTTTCTCCATTAGTTTTTAGCTGTTTTCATCATCTTTTTGCTTAAAATGATAAGTGATTAAATATTTAAAGGGAGTTGTGTGAAGTATTAGGCTTCAATTTTGGAAGAAGTTGTGCTGAATTGAAACCTTGCACTTCATTTACTTCTTGATTTGACTAGTTAAGATGTTAATACCTGTTGTGAAAATATGTAAGATCTGAGATGGTATTGTCTTAGTCAACAAATGGTTAGAATCACTTATTGATTTCATGAATGAGAATGTAGTTCATGAGATTAAATGCAAATAAATTGTGAAATAAACTTTTAAAGAGTGTAGAATTAGAGGATTTTAGAGTGACAGACTAAAACACCCATTTTGATTTATAGTTTTAGGTTTTGATACGAGATGTTAGCTCCTAGGTAGAGGGATAAGAGGGAACTCTAGAGTGGGAGCTAGTATCTTCCTTACCTAGCCAGTCTTCACAAATATTCAAACTATAAACTAACTAATGTTCTTTATAGCATCTCTAGTAAGGGTAAAGAATATTATTTCTCCTATTTGGCACAACACATTTAGCATACTTCCACAATATAATTTATTTATTTATTACTGATTCATAATAAGGAAAAAGTATTTTATTTATATTGCTTTCGTCTTGCAAGTATTTTAGTTAAGTTAAGTAGTTGCTTACTTTATTTTCAATTATCAAAAAATTAGAAAAAGAATCGAATTTTCATTTCTATTTTAGCATCTTAAGTTCAAGTAAAAATATATTGCTAATCTCCCAATGGGTTCGATATTCGAGACTTAATCAGAAAGTTCTATATTACTTGATAACCATACATATACTTGCATTGTATCCCATATTGAAATATTATAGCTACATTCTTATTTACTTCATAGTGAAAGATTTACCTAGTTTTTGCTTTGGATCAAGTTTTTGACTTTGTTGCAAATTGTTGCAAATTAATAATAATATAATTATTAAGGAAATTAATCATATAATCATATACATTGCATTTTACATCTATATATACAGAAAATCAGGATCATAGATGAACAACATATCTAATAAGAATAGGACTCTATTTTTTTACCTCTTCTAATGCTTTGGAGAAACATATGGGTCAAGAGGAAGATGTAACTCAGAAGAGTTCTTGTTCGAGTTTAGGAAAGATGATTTCTAGAGCTTACAAATAGCGTGCCTGCCAATTAGTGGTTGAGAAGGAATAAAAGAAAAAATATAATGTACTCATGACTTCAATAATTTTCAAATTTTCCTTGTTATAATATAAGAGGCCACTATCTCACCTTTTTAATTATCCAAACAAAATATAAAAAATTTCCTTGTAGGAGATATTTATTCGTCAGTCTTGTTTCTTACGAAAAATTATTACCTGCGGAGAGCGCACGTAGCTCTCTGATCACAACCGCAATCAACCCAAGCTTGTATGAGAATGAGACTTATTGTCATACAGGCTTGAATCAATGTGCGACTGAGATTGACACACAATAAGCGCTCTTTTAATTTTGAAGAAGATGTGGTGGCACGGACCTGCATTTGTTCAGACTTAATATTTTTTCCCGCAGTCCCCGGCTAATCCGTACTCGCGTGCAGCCGGAATGACTGTGCGCAGCTGCTGTAGCGTCCAGCTGTTTGTTCTTATGCGCTCCTCGCTCAGCAATCTGACCCCTTGGAGCTCGAGTTCCCAGGAGACTATTGGCACCATAAGGAGGCCGGGAAGAGCAGATAGAGCTGGTTTTCATGGGCTAAGGAGAGAAAGAAAGGTGTTATTTTAGTGCATTCTTCTCCAAGATCCGAGCAAGCTCGCTTCCTGTATTAAAAAATGGCTAAAGGAAGACGACTCCTTCCGCTGATTTCTCTGCTTTCAGTTTCCCTCCTCGTCGGTGAGCGTACTACTGTTTTCTTTTAAAAGAGTAGAGTAAATTTGCTGCTCTCCTACTGGAATGCTTTCTGTAGTCCTAAAAACCAGGAGTTCTTGGTTTTGTTTAAAGTTCAGATTTTTATGGATATATATTTTAAATGCTAACCTTGATTTTCTGCGACAAATCTTTGCCGGCTTCTTTCAAGAGCACTGTAATGGAGGAAAGGTTGGTGTTTGCTACGGTAGAAATGCTGATGACCTTCCAACACCTGACAAAGTTGCTCAGCTTATTCAGCTTCATTCCATCAAATATGTTAGACTCTATGACGCCAATATACAGGTTCTGAAGGCTTTTGCTAATACTGGAGTTGAACTTATGATCGGAATACCGAACTTAGACTTACTGGCCATCTCTCAGTACCAATCCAATGCTGATACCTGGCTCAAGAACAATATGCTCCCATACTACCCTGCCACCATGATTACCTACATAACAGTGGGAGCCGAGATCACTGAAAGTCCGGTCAATGTCTCATCCCTCGTTGTTCCTGCCATGACTAATGTCCACACTGCTCTAAAGAAGGTTGGACTCCACCAAAGAATCAAGGTTTCGAGCACTCATTCGCTTGCCGTGTTATCCCGCTCATTTCCACCGTCCGCTGGGGCTTTCGATAGCAAGTTTGCTTTCTTTCTGAAGCCTATGTTGGAGTTTCTGGTGGAGATTCAATCGCCTTTCATGATTGATCTTTATCCTTACTATGCCTATAGGGATTCTTCTGGAAATGTTTCTCTTGACTATTCTTTGTTTAATCCATCAAAAGATGTCATCGATCCTAACACTGGCTTGGTATACACCAACATGTTCGATGCACAGATGGATGCTATATACTTTGCACTCATGGCATTGAATTTTAGGACTTTGAAGGTTATGGTTACGGAATCCGGTTGGCCTAACAAGGGCTCAGCAAAGGAAGCTGCTGCAACTTCTGATAATGCTCAGGCATATGATACCAATTTGATTCGGCATGTTATTAATGATACCGGGACTCCTGCTAAGCCAGGAGAGGAGATTGATGTTTATATATTCTCATTGTTCAATGAGAATAGGAAACCAGGTTTGGAATCTGAGAGAAATTGGGGTTTGTTTTATCCTGATCAGACTAGTATATTCAGCCTTGATTTCACTGGTAAGGGTAGTGTAGATGTTGTAACCGGAGCGAACATTACTAGCTTAAATGGTACGTGGTGTGTTGCTTCTGCCAATGCTTCAGAACAAGACTTGAAAAATGCATTGGATTGGGCCTGTGGTCCGGGAAATGTTGATTGTTCCGCTATTCAGCCAAGCCAGCCTTGTTTTCAACCCGATTCATTGGCTTCTCATGCTTCTTACGCTTTCAACATTTTTTATCAGCAGAATGGAGCTACTGACATTGCTTGTAGTTTTGGTGGGGCGGGGATTATAACTACTAAAGACCCAAGTGAGTAATTTATTTTCTCCGTGCTACCCTGGCTAAGTTCTCTGCTCGTGTTAAACTTTTGGCTTGTTTGAGATCAGTTTTATTGTTTGTTTTTTGTTTTGATTTTACAACATATTTGCTTTGTGCATTTTTTTGCATATTTTATTTGTTTTTAAAAACAAATTAGTTTGTTTTTAAAAACACTAACAACAATATAAGTTGTTTTGTTTGTTTCTGGAAGCAACTAAACATGCTATATCATACAAAAAATGTTTTATTTTAAATCAAACCATAAATAAAACAAAATAAAATTTAAAAACAAGAAGTAAAATATTTAAAGTGATCTCTAATGTCTCCTTTATAAATTTGTTTTCCCAATTCTAGTATTTTGGTTGAAGCGTTAAAGATGTCTCCCGATAGGGAGCAAGTTTGATGACTGGCAATTTTGAGCTTTTAGACATTCAGCCTTTAAAAAAAAATTAAAAATATTTACCCTAGTGTATTTTGTTCCTTTATTTCCATATTTTCGTTCAATGGCATATTTTAATTTTTCTTCTTTTTTAATTTCGAGTTCTAATATTTTGATAAAAATCACTCGACCACCTAACAAAACATGCAACTTGTCATATCTGGGGTTGGGACCCGACAATGGCTGTGTACCTTTGAAGGATAGCCAATCCCACTTAGTGGGCTAAAAGCTTCTTGTTTTTGTTATTATTGTTTCAAATTTGAGATTCTACTAACTATGTTAACCTTTGAAGCAGATACATTGTCATGGGATATAGGCTTGATAGAGTGTGAATTTGAGATGAAAGTAGGATATGACACATCATGGATTTGAATTTTTTTTTTTTGCCATCTTTTACATGCTTGCTATACAATTCTTATGTATTTACATATCTAACACATAAAGTGTAATATTACATTTCAACACTCAAATCTTTAACATCACAGCAAAATTACCCTTCACTGTCTTCTTAAAAATCAAATGCTCCTTTTCATGCATATGACTATAGCATCCAAGGTGGATAAATGCAAATATCAAACATTAGGTGATAGATATGTAAATCAATAAGAATTGTGTGTTAGACATGTAAATTTTCCTTTATTTAAATCAAATTTATTATAAAATGTGTAGTTAGAACACTTCATGTGATATTTGCTCTCAAAAAGTTTTATGAAATGAAATTTGATATCATATGCACACCTAAGAGGTTCTAGCACCTATAATAATTAGTTTAATTATATTAATATTCAATATTTAGTCAAATGTACACGAATTGCCTGCAACACATCAACATTATCATTAATTTTAGGCATGATTTTGTAAATTCTTACGTTTCATTGTCTACAAAAAACTTTAATACAAAAATAGGGTATGTGATTTTAAACTATCTAGAAAAATATGAAATATTGATATACCACTACGTTAGAGAACACACACAGCATCACGATCATTGGCATCACTAGCACAATTGTCATCATTTATAAAACGTTCAACATCAACAATAAAAATACAAGTTGTTAACTTATCTTATACAGAAAAAACATTAATTCGTCATCATAACATGTTCCAGCTATGTCAGGCTGTGCCCTACGATGGCTGGATGTGTCCGGATCATGCTACGTTTTAATTTTGGCGGAAGTATGACATTTTTTTAGTATTTCAGGTAGGCGTCAGAGGCACTTATGCGTTTAATATTAGCTCAAGTATTTCTCATTTTTTTTTTTTTTAAGTGTCTCCACTTCAATGATATTAACTATTGTAGCACATGTTTAGACTGCAAAACATTGTTCTAGTTGACTTTGCCTTCGTAAATATTTTAGCAGCTCACATCTATCTTTTGCAAATTGCAATATGAACACTTTGATCATTTTAAAAAGAAGATGAAAGAGATTCTAAATTCTGGACTATTTAGCTGTTTTGTTCTTAATACCTACCCATAATGGACCTCAAAAACATCTGCCTTGCGTGGTTCAGTTTTGCAGAATGGTTAACATTGTAGTTTCCACAATGTGGCCAATGCAAAATTTGCTTTGTAGTCATCCTTACTATCCGGTAACCATATGTTGTATGTGATATGAAGTTAAACTAAGTCAGAGCGTGACCACATTATCCCCCAATTTATTTGGAGATTTACTAATCATTTGGTGGAATTATAGAATATTAGTTTTTTATTTTCCCGGATTGCAACTAAACAGCTCATGCTTTGTTATTTGTTTCTGTTTTATTTACTGGCATGTTTTGGCTGTAAGATTCTCTTACTTATAGAGATTTCCCATGTTCTTGACATTATCTGATGAGATCTAATATGTTGATTTTTTGCAGGCTATGATAAATGCAAATATGCAACCTCAGGGTATGCTTATAACTCTCATAGCTTTCATTTCGTTGAAGCTTGATCATCATTTTTTCTATGTTCTTAATGTAAAGATTTTTTTTTTTTTTGATAGAATGCCAATTATAAAACAATTAATTTCCAACAATTTTATGTGAAACAGTAAAATGAACAACACAAACTCTACTGGACCCTCATCCATTCCATCCACAGCAAAGAGCTTTGCGGCTTCATGCACGATAGGTTGTTTGTTTCTTTCTTTGTTGGCTCTGCATCTCATCTTGTTTGAGCTTCTCGGCTTCATGGAAATGAGTTTGTAGAGAGTTAGAAGATATGTTGAAGCAAGAGAAATTTGTATTTCTTTTCATGTGTTTTTTTTTATGGTGCTCCGAGTGACTGATATTATATTGTAGAAACTATTGGAAAATAGATTGGCGTTTTCTAGAAAAATATGAGAATATTGTAGTTTAGATGATCCAAATCTCAAAATTGTAGCTTAATTCTTTTTTATAACGTTTACTTTACATGTTGGATGAATGCCTATTTTTTTTGTGGTGAAACAATGCAGAGTTAAAGTTAAAGAAGCCTAATATGTTAATGTTTTTTAAAGGATGGATATTCATGAACGTAAAAGATTCAAGTTAAGTTGATAAGGAAAAATATTAATATATCAGGAATTCAATATTTTTTTTTATTGTGTTGTCTACATGGGCCGATTCAGTTTTAGTAAAAATCTTAAATTTGTGGCGTGTACTGTGGCTAAATGATTAGAGCATAAAATACTTCTGACCAGGATTTAGTAACTCGACTCAATTGAGATGAAATTAGTACTGTTGATGATTAAGAGAATTAATTATTCTTTAACCTTAAAGTTCTTATAAAAAAAATATTGTGATTTTAACCGATTAATTTTATTTTTTTGCTTACAATTTTGTTTGGTATTTGTGTTTATTATTTACTTATAACGATGCTTTTGCTACTAATATAGCGTTAGTAATATTAATATTAAGTGGGGCACGCATCAAAACTCAATAAATTCTTGAGCTCTTTTAAGAAATTGCCTCAAGCGAAGGATAATGAAATGCTGTCTCATGTAGGACTGTCAAAAAAGCTCGTTCGCGAACAGTTTGTGTTCGGCTCATTGTGTAGCTCGTGTTCGCCTCGTTCGTTAAGTAAATGAGCCAAACAAAAACAAATTTTTAAAGCTCGAATTGTAAACGAGCCGAATACGAACAACTTTTTGTTCGCTGTGTTCGGCTCATTTTAGCTCGAAATAAAAAAGAAATTATATAATTATTTATATAATAATATATTTCTTCTTTCCTCCGCTGCATTCGGGTTGTTGTCTGGCGTCGGACGTTAAATTTTTCCTATTAACCAAAAGTAGGATCTTAGGCAGGATTGGCCCAACTAAACATTTTCCAACCAATTCAGAGTTCGGCATCTTTAGCCCATTCTGATGCAGGGAGGAACAGCTCTAAAATGGATAATGTGCTAAGAAATTTGAAGAGAAGCATAATAAGTTAAAAAGGAGCGTACTTGTTTATATTAAAAAAATGCAAAATTTATAAATATTTTGGAGATAGAAACAAGAAAAAATTTCAATTACATTGGGAACCTTATGTGATAAATCAATAATAGAAGAATATATATCAAAAGGTAAAATTGATCATCATAAAAAAAAAGGAACTCTATTGCCTATGCAATTAATTACATTTCAAATAATAAAAGAACATCATGAGTCAAACTTTACATGCAAGATAAATATTAGTGTACTATGTATGGCACACAACTACAACAATGCAAGGATAGGGTCACACATAAAAAAACAATAGATTATTATCTACAAAAATTAATAGATATGTAAATAGATATGATAAGACCCTACAAATACCCTTGCTGGAAAAAATATTATTAAGAACTTTCCGAAGGACAAGGACAAAAATTTTTATTAACTTCTAAAATAAATAAAACATTGACCATGCAAAGTTCTAATATGTTTCAAATCGGATAGGCTTATGCAATTTAAATTGGATTTCCTCTAAAGCAAAATAAGATGAGTGAACATTTTGCATCTTAGAAAAATAAGAATGCATTAAAAGTTATTTGTGTTGGCTAAAAAAGTAAGGAAAATCAACCAAAGAGTTTAATCAAAAGGAGTCTAACCTATATTTGATGATGATAGATGTTCTAATAATAGAGGTAAAAAAGACAAAAATTATCATAAATTTTAATATTTTATCTCTAAAGAATGATACAATATTAAAAATTTTCAAAGAAATATAGTATGTTTCAATAAGAGAATGTAATTTTTTTTTATTATACTAAGAATTTGATTTAATTTGTAACTAACTAAATAAAAAAAAAATTGACATGCACACCACAAAGCGTTCTTATGTGTGCCGAATGATTAATAACAAATTCTATATTTAAAACTACAGAAAATGATTTGCACAATCAAAATAACTCTAGCGTCGATACATTTAGTTACATATCTGAAGTAAGATAGCTTCACATTTCAAATCTTATTTGCAATTAATTATTAAGTCCATGAAGTACACAATTGAGAAATGTAAGGGTAGGGTCACACTTCGAACTTACCTTATGTATGAATCTTAAAATTATCACATACACTAGTGGTGAGGACTGTTACTTTAAGCGTGTGTGCGCACACACACACAAATATAGATATCGAGATATATATATATATATATATATATATATATATATATATA